AGTATTGACTGTTTTAGCTCTAATGTCTACACAACTGACAGTTCTCGCTTCAGAGGTCCCCGGTAGTTAGCGCCCTTCGGATATGTTTATCACGTTATGTAACTGTGGTGGGAAACGAGCAGACAGACATTAGGCAGGTTCTACAACACGTGGTAAACTGATGAATGATAGACTGGTTATTATCACTCCCCTTTGGGAGCGAGTAAATAACACATGGGCACAAATAGACCATCACGAGCTGAGCAGAATTGTGCAGCGGGAAGCCACCAGGGGATCTAGCCGACACTCCACACCCAGGGGATCTAGCCGAAACTCCACACCCAGGGGATCTAGCCGGAACCCCACACCCAGGGGATCTAGCCGGAACTCAACACCTAAGGAATCTAGCCTGAACTCAACACCCAGGGGATCTAGCCTGAACTCAACACTCAGGGGATCTAGCCGGAACCCCACACCCAGGGGATCTAGCCGGAACCCCACACACAGGGGATCTAGCCGGAACTCATCATTCAAGAGAAAGGCAAGCTGCACATACAATCAGACTGCCACTTGTACTTTCGGAATGGAAAGTCTGTACTGGCTGCTGAAGGTGGGTGCCTAGCACCTACGGGAATATCCCGAGTGCTTGAAAAACTATCCCATTCATCAGTCTTTCATTATCATCATGATGTGCCCTGTCAGCTGGTATAGACGCTCATGCATCTCCACAGATCACGATCCCTGGTTGCATGGAACAGCTCTCTTGATGTTATCCTTCAATGCCATCGTTTCAGCCCATCCAGCATCTTCTCTCTTGGTTTACCTCTACCCCTTTTCCCACTGATCTTTCTGGTTGTCACTATGAACTCCAAAGTCATATGTCTTTACATCATGATAGTTTCTTGCATTGCCTCAAGAAACCGCATTCCCGCTTTCATTTGTTGTCTCCCGACGATTATTTTTTGTGCCAATGTCTTACCATGCATTACTTATCAAATCATAAATTAACACTTAATCTGGACTCAGCGCATCTGTATCGACCGAATATTAGGACCATAATTTGCAGGTACATAAATAATGACTGGTCCAGGGGATAATCAATGTATTTTGTCGTTGTTATCTCCCACGAAGGTGAGCAGGTAGAGAACAAGTTGGCGGGAAAATTACACAGCTCTAGCAGTACATCATCTGTGTTGAGACACGCGCAAAGGCTGGAGGAGGTTCCTGACATACTGAAACAAGATGCCGCTAAAATCATTCAGGGAGATGTAGCAGACATCACCAAACAACTTGTCTCTGACATCACTCAGCAAGATGTCAATGACATCACTCAGCAAGTTGTGCCTGAGAGCACACAAGAGGTTGCCACCCTCGAGCGAGAAATGCCTACATCCCAGACAGGGCAACCAGGTCTGCAGCTAGAGTGGATGTAAGTGTGCGTTGCCTGTGCTTGGAGTGGGATACAGCTCTTATGTATGCACTAGAGTGATGGATGTAAGTGCGTTCAGCTGGTATGGATGTAAGTGTGATCAGCTAGAGTGGATGTAAGTGCGTTCCCTAGAGTGGATTTAAGTGCGTTCAGCTGCAGTTGTTGTGTGTTTAGCTAGAGTAGATGTGAACTAATTCAGCTAGAGTGAATGTAAATGTATTCAGCTAGAGTGAATGCAAGTATGTTCAGCTAGAGCGGATGTAAGTGTTTTCAGCTAGAGTGGATGTAAGTGTATTCAGCTAGAGTGGATGTAAGTATGTTCAGCTAGAGCGGATGTAAGTGTATTCAGCTAGTTTGGATGTAAGTGTATTCAGTTAGAGTGGGTGCAAGTATGTTCAGCTACAGTGGATGCGAGTGTGTTCAGCTAGAGTGGATGTAAGTGTGTTCAGCTAGAATATATTTAAGTGTGTGCAACTAGAGTAGATGTAAATAAATAAACAATACTTTCTGTTACTTGATTAATTCATAATATTTAACGGCCTCAAATGGTTCCCCCCTCTGTTTATTTATAGGAATGACGTATATACACCGGAACCTACCAATCAAATACCTTTCTTAAATGTTTGTGTATTCTAGACAAAGCAATAAGGTCTTACTGTGTTCGTAAATTGTTGCTGTGATTGTTATTCGACATTTGCTTCGTTAATATAAATTTCTGTAACCTATGGTGCCATTTCAATGGGTTGAAATGAATTCTGTCCGTATTCCATAGTCGTGGATTTCAAGCTGTACGATAGACATGGCCAATGAAACACCTTTTTTTGGGGGTGCCGAGTTGACCATGTATCTTAGTGCACTTGTATTCATGGCGAGGCGCAGACGCCGTCTGGAGGTGACAGGTTCAATTCCCGGCACGGTAACTATAGCTTTCGATTTTTATGTTGTCTAGTGTGTTCTTCTATCTTTCTACTTCCTTCTATGAGTGCCGTTCACAATACTTTCTGTTACTTGATTAATTCATAATAGAGTAGATGTAAGTGTGTTCAGCTAGAGTAGATGTAAGTGTGTTCAGCTAGAGTAGATGTAAGTGTGTTCAGCTAGAGTGGGTGCAAGTGTGTTCAGCTACACTATATGTGTGTTCAGCTAGAGTAGATGCAAATGTGTTCAGATAGAGTGGTGGATGTAAGTGAGCTCAGCTAGAGTGGATGTAAGTGTGTTCAGCTAGAGTGGATATAAGTGCGTTCAGCTAGAGTGGATGCAAGTGTGTTCAGCTAGAGTAGATGTAAGTGTGTTCAGCCAAAGTAGATGTAAGTGTGTTCAGCTAGAGTAGATGTAAGTGTACTCCTGGTTGTAAAATGTTAAACTGTGAATGCAGAACACACACGATGTCACATGTCTGGACTAACTTATAAAACCAGTGAAAATAAAGCTGCAACTTCCGTGTCAGAAATTGTGCGTTTCTCCAGTAACTAAGTGACCTGTCTCACGTGACTGTGTGACCTGTCTCACGTGACTGTGTGACCTGTCTCACGTGACTGTGCGACCTTCTCACGTGACTGTGGGGCTTGTATGACGTAACAGTGTGACCTGTCTCACGTGACTATGTGACCTGTCTCACGTGATTGTGTGACCTGTCTCACGTGACAGCGCGACCTGTCTCACGTGACAGTGCGACCTGTCTCACGTGCCTGTGCGACCTGTCTCACCTGACTGTGTAACTTTCTCACGTGAGGATGTGACCTATCTCTGTGACTGTGTGACATTATCACGTGACTGTGTGACATGTATAACGTGACTTTGGGTGGACATGTCTAACGTGACTCCTGTCTCTGTGTATGAGTTTATGTTCGTGTGAATGTGTGATGAGTGTGCGCGTGTATATATGATATATGTGTAAGTGTATATGTGTGTTTCATGTGCGTGTGTTAGTGTGTGTAAGTATGTGTTTGTTTGTGTGTCAAGACAAATCTACTGGGAGGAGCAGATCAGTTCTTGAAGCTCGCTGCTGGCTGAAACAGACCAGGTCCTCCCATGGAGTCAACGACTGTCTGTCTTTTTACAAATTAAAGAAATTGGTGGGTTTCCTCTCCCTGGATCCCCGGGGAAGTGGATTAAACTTCTAACATTCTCAGACAATGACTACAACTTGAAGGGTTAACAATCTCTCTTCAGCAGTGATTCTCAACCTTCCTAATGCCGCGACCCTTTAATACAGTTCCTCACATTGTAGTTACCCCCAACCACACAATTATTTTCGTTGCTGCTTCATAATTTAAATGAACATGGTTTTTTCGATGGTCAAGAAAGGGTCGCGGCCCATAGTTTGAGAACCACTGGGCTATAAGCTAACCTGCTGGAAGTGGGTCAGTGGTTTGGTGGTGGTAGGGAGGAGGGGGCACATATTGACCTGCACAGTTCGTGGTGACTGCACTAGCAACAGAGGGCTGAGTTGTCACGAGGCATGGTGTCCGCCTCGAGGGCTATAGATCTCGGGTTCAAGCCCTAGTTAAGGCTAGCATTCTTTTCCCTTGGACTTCTAGTAATTTTCCCTGGTCTCTGGGTAGTAAGACCGGACGCCCGTGTGTAGTGTTACGCACGTAAAAAATCAACCGGCAGTTAGACATGGAAAAGAGTAGCCTAACGGCGCTGCCCGGGCAAAATTTGGAGTAACACATCTACCCACAAAGTATTTCCGGATATTCGCCGGTGCTACAGAGTTCGTGAACTGAGCAAAGAATTTTCAGACTCAGGCTTGAGTTAGAAGAAGAACGAAGCACTTAATGGTTACAACTGTGTGCCATGATGTTGATCAGTTCAATAAACATAAAACATACCTGTACTAGCAACAGGGACCTAACTCTCAGATCCCCAAACCCCCATTATTGTGTAAAACAGTATTTAGAACAAATCTGGTACGCACGTATTGACCGGCACAGAACCACATGCATCTAGATCAGTGGTTTCATACCTGGAGGCCACGCCCCCTGGGAGGGGGTGGGGGTAGTGAAGTTTCAAAAGGGCGTATAGCAACTGTGAAAGTGAGTGCATCAGTAGTTATGAAAATCAGGATTTTTAGCTGAAACTCATGAAAACAAAACAGCGCTACCAGCTTCATGTGGAGAGTGATCTTCGTTGTGCCTGGTCCTACCCCCCCCCCCCCCCCTTTTCCGCCCCACCAGAAAAAAAAACACCACAGATATCATCAAGACAAAACGGTGTTAAACCGTAAATAACATTTATATCTGAGCACTAAACTATTGTTGGTGATTGTTTCTTGTGTTATTTGACACTTTGAGTTATGTGACTGTTTTTCCCCTCCTAGTCTGTGTTAACATTGTTTGAGAATTTTCTTTCCGTCCTCCTCTTTATTATTCACATTTTGTTATGTTGCAGTTGGGGAGAGGGGGGGGGGGGGGGTGCAGGTGATCTTGACATATAACCAAAGAAGGTGGGGGTAGGTGATCTTGAAATTTGCACACTTACAAAAGGGAAGAGGAGGTGGTGGGCGGAGGGGGGGGGGGGGCACCTGAAAAATGTTGGACACCACTGATCTAGACGGCGTTATGAGACACAAATCTCCATGTTTCTACAGCTACGGCTTCTGCAACCACGACGGCGGCAGCTGCAGCATCGGACTACTGGCCTCCGGGGAAATCATCTACTTCATCTCTAGCAACATCATCATCTACAGCAGAAAGCTGCATCAGCAGCGCCATTATCGAGAACACACTAACAACGTTCACTGGTATATACTGACCAATGATGCTGCTGCTTTTACTTCCATTACTGTTACTACTGCTACTGCTGCTGCTAATGCTACTATTATTACTACCACTACTACTGCTGCTGCTACAGATGCTGCTGCTATTACTACTACTACTACTACTGCTGTTGCTATAACTAATGCTGCTGCTGCTATTACAACTACAACTACTGCTGCTGCTATTACTACTGCTGCTACTACTACAGCTGCTGCTGCTCATATTACTACAACTACTACTATTGCTGTTATTACTACTACTGCTGCTGCTATTACTACAACTTCTAATATTGCTGTTATTACTACTACTGCTGCTGCTGCTCCTATTACTACAACTACTACTATTGCTGTTATTAATACTACTGCTGCTGCTGTTGCTATTACTACTACTACTGCTGATATTACTACTACAAATGCTACTGCTATTACTACTGCAGCTGTTGTTACTACTACAACTACTCCTGTTTCTGCTATTATTGCTGCTGCTACTTCTGCTACTAATTACTACTACTAGTAACTATTACTACTACTAACTATCATTACTAGATGTACTAGCACTACTGCTTCTATTACTACTACTACTACTACTACTACTACTACTACTACTACTGTTTTTATGAATATTACTACTTGATGTAGAATAACTGCTGCTTCTGCTATTACTAATACTGTTTTACTACTTTTACCACCACTATTGATACTACTATTATTACTACTATTACTACTATTGCTACTACTATTACTACTACTAGTACTATTGATACTACTATTACTACTACTAGTACTACTATTGATACTACTATTACTATTACTAGTATTACTATTGCTACTGCTATTACTACAATTGCTACTATCACTACTATTGCTATTACTATTACTACTACTATTACTACAATTGCTAATACTATTACTACTATTGCTACTACTATTACTACTACTATTACTACTACTATTACTACTATTGCTACTACTATTACTACTACTATTACTACTATTGCTACTACTATCACTACTACTTTTACTACTATTGCTACTACTATTACTACTACTAGTACTTCTATTGATACTACTATTACTACCACTATTACTACTATTGCTACTACTACTACTATTACTACTATTGCTACTACTATTACTACCACTATTACTACTATTGCTACTACTATTACTACTACTAGTACTTCTATTGATACTACTATTACTACCACTATTACTACCACTATTACTACTTTTGCTACTATTACTACCACTATTACTACTATTGCTACTACTATTACTACTATTGCTATTACTATTACTACAATTGCTACTACTATCACCACTATAGATATTACTATTACTACTACTATTACTACTATTGCTACTACAATTACTACTATTGCTACAACTATTACTACTACTATTACTACTATTGATACTTCTATTACTACTACTATTTCTACTTTTGCTACTACTATTACCACTACTATTACTACGATTGCTACTACTATTACTACTACATTACTACTACTATTACTACTATTGCTACTACTATTGCTACATACATACATGCATATAGTTTTTGGGCACATACAGCAGATGTACTGATTACTAACATTATATATTGAGAACTTCATTAATGGCATCACCATGATGTGCCATGTAGGGTGATTGTGGCTGGAAGTGACGCTTCTCCATCAGAGATAATGACAATACATATTGCATAATAGTGTTAACACCTTTCCTTTGTTGGTTTACACTTTTATGAAACTTTTTATTTGAAGAGCACCATAAAACAGAAATACTGTATGTGTGTCTGCTATAAATGATGTGTATTATAGTTTACAACAAACAAGACGGAAACGTTGACTAGGTAGTGCTGCAGTTTTGACTGTCTGTAGAACGGATTTTACTGTCGTCTAGTACAAATGTCTACATTTATTTTACACTAAAATATCTACACAGCGAATTAATACTGCCAGATTACCTTCACAAATGGATACAACAAGGAATGTTTTCGCCGATACTTCAAAGCGTGTCGTAGAAGGAGTCTAAGGGAAATGACGATGAAGCAGACTAACACATATTTCTTCTGTCAAAAACGAAACACTGAAACTGTGTTCTGAACTTGACATTTGCATTTTCTCTCTAGTTTGGCTGTACACTCGGATGGAATACTGGTTGCTAGCGGCCAATGTGCCAGTTCGTCTGGTCAGAAGAATAAAGTAAGCCAAAACCTTGACGACAATATTATTTTGCATTTGTTAAATGCATCATTTCATATTAAAGGGTGACCATAATTTGCAGCCAATGTTAGAAACGCTTCACGTTTGGTAACGAATTATTTTGGCTTACATCTTTCTAAACATTTTGATTCGGTCTATGCTAGTTATGCTTTACTGTTTAATATTTGTAATGTCCGTGTCTTAGAATTTAAAGAAAATAAAATCTTGAAACTCTAGTAGTAGCAGTAGTATTTCTTTAAATCTTGAATACACTTGTATGTTACTGGGGCACTGTCCTTACTGGATGCAAAGAACTTGAGCACTGCAACTCACCAGTCATGTGTAATTGCTACAACAAACTCTGACTCCAAAGCTCAACACAGGGAAACGAAAAATAGAGCACAAATACAATTAAACGTGTCGGCCAGCGTCTTCATCAGAGGGCAAAACAACCTAAATTAAACAATCGATAACGCCAAAATAGAACAGGAAATAAATAGTACGAGTAAATATGGACAGGAATAGTTATTACGAAACAAAACAGCAAGAAAGATCTGGAACATATAGAAAATAAGATAATGTTTTGCTGAAGACTGATTACTACAGAAACTACATATAAGGCTAACATTACAAATGAAATATTTACAAAATGACGACTGTGACTTTGTTGTAAAGTGCTGACATAAACTTGTAAACAACATCTGTTCTCATCATCGAAACACCAGAATGTCTCTCGCACACTGTGATCAGAGTTAACCCCCCCCCCCCCGCCCCACCCATTCACAATTAACGTTCTCCCCTACACCATGTTCACAGTTAACGTTCTCCCCCACACCAAATTCATAGTTAACGTTCTCCCCCACACCATGTTCATAGTTAAAGTTCTCCCCCACACCATATTCACAATTAACGTTCTCCCCCACACCATATTCACAATTAACGTTCTCCCCCACACCATGTTCACAATTAACGTTCTCCCCCACACCATGTTCACAATAAACGTTCTCCCCCACACCATGTTGACAATTAACGTTCTCCCCCAACACCATGATGACAATTAACGTTTTCCCCCACACCATGTTCACAATTAACGTTCTCCCCCACACAATGTTGACAATTAACGTTCTTCCCCACACCATGTTCCCAATTAACGTTCTTCCCCACACCATGTTCACAATAACGTTCTCCCCACACCATGTTGACAATTAACGTTCTCCCCCCCCCCCCACCATGTTCACAGTTAACGTTCTCCCCCACACCATGTTCACAATAACGTCCCCCCCCCCCCCACACCATGTTCACAGTTAACGTTCTCCCCCATACCATGTTGACAATTAACGTTCTCCCCCACACCGTGTTCACAATTAGGGTTATCCACACATGTTCACAATTAAAGTTCTCCCTCACACCAGGCACATGTTCGCGTGTGGCGGGCCGATACACTACACACCCTGCATGTCCTAGGAGACACGGGTGTCTGGAGTCAGTCTGTGGACTCGCTGAGCTTCATGCCCGCCCACGTAAGTGTTATCATAGTGTGTGTGTGTGTGTGTGTGTGTGTGTGTTTGCATGTGTGCGTGGGTGTTAGCTGTGTCGCAGCCTAGATGTTAACTGTCAGTCTACATGTATGTTGTGTTGTAGAAGAAACAGAAGAAGAAGAAGAAGAAGAAGAAGAAGAAGAAGAAGAAGAAGAAGAAGAAGAAGAAGAAGAAGAAGAAGAAGAAGAAGAAGAAGAAGAAGAAGAAGAAGAAGAAGAAGAAGAAGAAGAAGAAGAAGAAGAAGAAGAAGAAGAAGAAGAAAGAAGAAGAAGAGAAGAAGAAGAAGAAGAAGAAGAAGAAGAAGAAGAAGAAGAAGAAGAAGAAGAAGAAGAAGAAGAAGAAGAAGAAGAAGAAGAAGAAGAAGAAGAAGAAGAAGAAGAAGAAGAAGAAGAAGAAGAAGAAGAAGAAGAAGAAGAAGAAAGAAGAAGAAGAAGAAGAAGAGAAGAAGAAGAAGAAGAAGAAGAAGAAGAAGAAGAAGAAGAAGAAGAAGAAGAAGAAGAAGAAGAAGAAGAAGAAGAAGAAGAAGAAGAAGAAGAAGAAGAAGAAGAAGAAGAAGAAGAAGAAGAAAGAAGAAGAAGAAGAAGAAGAAGAAGAAGAAGAAGAAGAAGAAGAAGAAGAAGAAGAAGAAGAAGAAGAAGAAGAAGAAGAAGAAGAAGAAGAAGAAGAAGAAGAAGAAGAAGAAGAAGAAGAAGAAGAAGAAGAAGAAGAAGAAGAAGAAGAAGAAGAAGAAGAAGAAGAAGAAGAAGAGAAGAAGAAGAAGAAGAAGAAAGAAGAAGAAGAAGAAGAAGAAGAAGAAGAAGAAGAAGAAGAAGAAGAAGAAGAAGAAGAAGAAGAAGAAGAAGAAGAAGAAGAAGAAGAAGAAGAAGAAGAAGAAGAAGAAGAAGAAGAAGAAGAAGAAGAAGAAGAAGAAGAAGAAGAAGAAGAAGAAGAAGAAGAAGAAATACCTAGGTAATATAACAGCAAACCTGTCAGTTCATTGACCGTATACAAACATATATTATGACAATATATGAAACTTGTACGATTTGTCATAATGTGAATAAGTCATGTCAAAGTGTGTGTATAGACATATATATAGGTCATTAGAAGCAGGGCCGTCTCAACAGCATTATGGGCCCTGGGCAATCTGGAAGGCTGGGGCCGGTCCGACATCACAGGAATGACATGTAAATGGTTAATATTAGACGTATATTTATTTTATTAGCATTTCACCAGCACTGTGGTCGGTGATTGGGGGGTGGAGTTTGGGGAAAGGGGGGAGGGGCGTTAAAGGGAGAGCGCGATATAATCTCTGTGTTATATCACACAGAATTTATGTAAACGTTAAATATATTTTTATTTACGACAAGTCACATGACAGACACAGATTAACTTGGGGGTTCCTTTGCTAGTGGGATCAAGGGGGCCCATGCGAAAAGACGGCCCTTAGTAGTGTATATGTCAGTCATATGACACGATTATATAACAGTTTCATTTGCAAATGTTTCATCTAGAACATTCTGGTAGCAGCTGGCGACTGTCCGGACACGATGTTGACTGTGTGGGACACAAGCAGTGGAGCAATGCAGGCACACACAACTGTAAGTGCATGCCAGAATGAGGGGAGTTTTGTGAGACCAGTGTAAGATGTGGGGTTTGTGATGCCAGTGTGAAAAGCCGTCGGTCTAGTCTATGAAACGTTGAAAGCAGCTGTTTTAGACTGATTCTGTCGTCGTTCTAGTCTGGGAAACTTTCAGGGCAGCCTTTTTCAGACTGGCTCCGCCATAACTGCATACAGTCAACCTATGGACCACACCAATAGTGTTGTTGCCCTGACAGACAAACACAGGCAGACAAGTATACACACACACACACAGAGAGAGAGAGAGAGAGAGAGAGAGAGAGAGAGAGAGGGGGGGGGGGGGGGGAGAGAGAGCGAGAAAATGACTGAAGGGATTTTGGGCAGGGCATCAAATTGTTGGGACAAAAATGTATGTCTTGCATGTCTGGTGCTAAGAATGTAATATCTATGTGTACAGCACAGCCAGGCACGAGAGATACACCATATACGGCTCTGATCGTGTCTATGTATATGAATGTATGTGCGTGTATGATTCAATGTTATACATATGTGTATTATGTGCTAGCGGCAGCCAGCATGCGTGAGGGTACATTACTGAGTAAACCCAATTGTTCCTGTTGACGTCCAGGTGTCCACCAAGCGGCTGTGTGACCTGCAGTTTAACCCCTGGATCTCTGAAAGCATGGTCACGTGTGGGACTGAACACCTGGTGTGGTGGGCTGTCAGCAAAGACACGGGGGAGATACAAGTGGCATCCCAGCCCAACTATGATGTGAGTCAGTCTAGTTGTGTATGGGTTTATCTGTTAACGTTCAATCTGTGTGTGCCTGTAATCGCGTTTGTTATTTCGTCTGTCGGTCGATTTCCCACCATTCGTGTGGTTTCTTGTATGTCTGCTAGTCGATTTCCCACCATTCTTGTGGTTTCTTGTATGTCTGCCAGTCGATTTCCCACCATTCCTGTGGTTTCTTGTATGTATGCCAGTCGATTTCCCCCAATTCCTGAAGTTTCTTGTATGTCTGCCAGTCGATTTTCCACCATTCCTTTAGCTTCTTGTATGTCTACTAGTCGAGTTCCAACCATTCCTGTGGTTTCTTGTATGTCTGCTAGTCAATTTCTCACCGTTCCTGTGGTTTCTTGTATGTCTGCTAGTCGATTTCCCACTATTCTAATTGTTTCTTGTATGTCTGCTAGTCGATTTCCCACCATTCTCTTTGTTTCTTGTATGTCTGCCAATCGATTTCCCACTATTCTTATTGTTTCTTGTATGTCTGCCAGTCGATTTCCCAACATTCTCTATGTTTCTTGCATGTCTACAAGTCGATTCCCAAATATTCTTGTTGTTTCTTGTATGTCTGCCAATCGATTTCCCACTATTCTTGTTGTTTCTTGTATGTCTGCCAGTCGATTTCCAAATATTCTTGTTGTTTCTTGTATGTCTGCCAGTCGATTTCCAAATATTCTTGTTGTTTCTTGTATGTCTGCCAATCGATTTCTCACTATTCTTGTTGTTTCTTGTATGTCTGCCAGTCGATTTCCCCCAATTCCTGTGGTTTCTTGTATGTCTGTCAGTCGATATTCCACCGTTCCTGTAGTTTCTTGCATGTCTGCCAGCCGATTTTCCACCATTCTTTAGCTTCTTGTAAGTCTACTAGTCGAGTTCCCACCATTCCTGTAGTTTCTTGTATGTCTGCTAGTCAATTTCTCACCGTTCCTGTGGTTTCTTGTATGTTTGCCAATCGATTTCCCAATATTCTTATTGTTTCTTGTATGTCTGCTAGTCGATTTCCCACCATTCTTGTGGTTTCTTGTATGTCTACCAGTCGATTTCCCACCATTCTTGTTTTGTTTTTGTTTTTTATATTTCTGCTAGCTCATTTTCAGTACTGTTATTTGTTCATATATGTTTGTCATTCTCGCTGATAAATAGATGTGTTATTTTTAATGGTGTGGGAAAAGCCCTTTGGGAGAGCAGTGGTCTCCATCCTTTTTCTGGTCACCCCCACCTGAGAAAGAACCCCGCGCTCCCCTTGAGTATATGACAACAACCCCGCGCTCCCCTAGAGTATATATGGCAAGAACCCCGCGCCCCCTTGAGTATATGACAACAACCCCGCGCCCCCTTGAGTATATGACAAGAACCCCGCCCCCCCCCTCCTTGAGTGTAGAGCAAGAACCCCGCGCTCCTTGATTATATGTCAAGGACTCCCCCCCCCCCCCCACCCCGTAAATCCTTTTATATTTTGAGAATATGACAAGTCTCCCCCACCCAAACATACAGAATGTGATTAAAAAGAGGACAATATATTCAGCAAACAAGGGAAACAGAAAGTATGGAGATACGTTTCTGTCAGAATGTGATCTTAATCTATAATTAAATGCCTGTGATGTTATATTTATTAGATTTGTGAATGTAGACATACAAAGTGAGTATGAAAACTAAACCAAAAACACATAGCCTTGGCTTTTTGTTTTATAAATAGTTTAAATTTTTTTTATTGAAATAAAAATAATACAACAGATTTATTACAAATACAATAGCTCTCAATTTCAAAAAGGCCGGACGCACCCCTTGAGACCTACTCTTTCTCATGGGGAAAGGGGGCGGGGGGGGAGGGTGTAACCCCAGGCTGGAGACCATTGGTCTAGAGAAACGGATGCTGCATGGAGCGACGAGGAGGGTTGACAGACACTCAACACTTACAGTAAAGACAAGACGGATGTACGGTTGCTATCAATGAATTGCTACTCTGCACTGGCTGCTAAAAATAGGGCTTATGGGAATATCCCGACTCATGTGATATCAGTTCTTACTTAAGCTCCTTATTGCTTTTTCTTAAGTCGATAGTTAATCATTTTCATATTTGTCAGACCACATATAATCATGTTCATGTTTGTCAGATCACATTTCATCATGTTCATGTTTGTCAGATCACATTTCATCATGTTCATGTTTGTCAGATCACATTTCATCATGTTTGTCAGATCACATTTCATCATGTTCATGTTTGTCAGATCACATTTCATCATGTTCATGTTTGTCAGATCACATTTCATCATGTTCATGTTTGTCAGATCACATTTCATCATGTTCATGTTTGTCAGATCACATTTTATCATTTTCCTGTTGGTCAGTGCATATCTCATCGACTTTGCTCTCTCAAAAAGCTCTAAATCTACCACAAGATATCTCCTGCCCTTACTTCTCTATGCCCATTTGTTTCAAACCAGATCTATCTGAAGGGTCACGTCTACACCTGCCCCTACATCTGTATGCCCATTTGTTTCAAACCAGATCTATCTGAAGGGTCACGTCTACACCTGCCCCTACAGATGTATGCCCATTTGTTTAAAACCAGATCTATCTGAAGGGTCACGTCTACACCTGCCCCTACATCTGTATGCCCATTTGTTTCAAACCAGATCTATCTGAAGGGTCACGTCTACACCTGCCCCTACATCTGTATGCCCATTTGTTTCAAACCAGATCTATCTGAAGGGTCACGTCTACACCTGCCTCTGCCACAGCCAAAGGGGTGACGTCGTCACTGGCGACTACAACGGCAATATTTACATCTGGGGCAAAAAAGGGGCCAGCATTCTCCACATCATCAAACATGGCCACCAGGTAAGCTCCCCTGTTCTCATTTGTTGAAGTGTTTTCTTCTTCTGTCACTGTTCGCTCTAGCGCCAAGATGTGGTTGTTCGTCCACTTTTGAACTTAGGCCTTGTACAAGATCTTGAGTTTTGCATGCACATTTCTTTTATTGATCTGGCATATTTCTATGCTGCAACGGAGGATCGAGCACGCACGAGAATGTGAAGTTAAGTCGATTGTTATAACGTAATATAAATTAATATAGGGAGCTGCTTGGTCTCGGGGTATGGTGTCCGCCTCCAGTAGCCAAACATTATCCTTACGTCCTTTTCAGGACGTAATTTTTTTGTTATTTGAAGCCCCACCCTGGTTTTGCCAGGGGTCGCAATATAGGCAGGCCATAAATACGGCCAATTGTCTGAACGCGGTTTCTGGGACCTCTCCATGGTGATCCTCACCCACATGGTGGCACTTTGTGTCATCGGGTGTTTATCGCTTGTGTGATGTCCTAGTGGGGTAGAAAGTCAGTCGGTCAGTCCGCCTCCAGTGCTAAAGATTCCGGTAAGGGCTGGGATTTGTGTACGTGGACTTGGACTTCTATGAATTGCCCCTGGTCTCTGGGCACTGAGATCGGACCCCCGTGTGCATTGTTGGGCATGTACACAATTCCTTGGCAGTTGTTAATCGAAAAGAAGCCTAACGGCGCTGTCCAGGCACAGTTTTTAGTTACAAATCTACTTAAAGTATTTCAGGATCCCCACCGGTGCTACAGAGCCTGTGCACTGTGATGAGCTTCTTCGGACTCAGACTTGAGGTAGAAAAAGAACGGAGCACTTAGGGGTTACTACCCGTGTGCCATGATGTTGATCCATTGTTCAAACCACAAACCTCAAACATAATATAACGCAATAAAACATAAAGAGATAACACAATAGGTTTAAGGTTGCAACATCACGGGTGGCTCCCTAACTGTTTAGTTGCGGTGCCACACAAAATGTCCGTCACTGTCCCATTAAAAAAACTATTGGGAAAAAAACTTGTCAGTACCAGTAAAATCTTGAAGCCTGCACACGCCAAGTAAAATGCATACGGCAGCTATCAGATTAGTTAACACTAACGATCCAACACCAGATCTGCAGATCACTGCTGGCGCAAACGGTCAATCGCGAAAACCACCCGTCATTTTACTACAGTCAAAAACACTCCGCGGGCAAGAAATTTTTACTATCGGCAATTTTGGCTCGTTTCGTGAAATAATTTACCATAATGAATTAGTTGCTGCACTCGGGCATGCTCACACGTGACTTATCGCTTTTCTCAATAGTCAGCGAAGAGTTTCCCCTTACTCATGGAGCCAGTGGTAACGTTAATAGTCCGCTTATTTCCCCTTGCGTGATAAAACGGTTCCGACCTTCTTTCCCGGCCAGGTGAATCAGCTGAATCTCTCGGAGTAAAGATCTGTTGCCCCTGCACTGTCGATCTGGTCCCGGGGAGGCTTGAGGACGTCGGATTTGGGTGTTATTTATAACAATAGAGCCTGAATTGGATATGTGGAATACATACACAGTAGAGGAAATCACCGTCTTCACGGGTGCTGCGTTAAAGTCTGTCCAATGCTTGTCTGTCGCTGTTTTTCGCTATCTAGCCAACATTTTGTGTTCTGTATCGCTGTCTATCTCTTGTGTTCATCAGGGTCCAGTCACTGACCTCGCCCTGCTCCACAACCATCTGCTGAGTTGTGGACAAGATGGTGCCATCAACTGTTGGAACATGGGCAAGACCGTGGACAAGGAGAGTCTCCTCCAGGTTTGAGGTTTTTCATTTCTCTCAGATGCTGAATGTTTCTGTAAAGACGTTATACAATTCTCGTATGCTGATGAGGGCTTTTTAGCATGCAACGTTCATCTCGTAGTTCGTGACTGCAGTTTTGTGAAGCTACTAGTTCTACTTCTCGTTTGTGGTAAAATATATATCAAACAAACAAACAAACAAGTAGTACTAGCAGCTCCACATTATCAAGTGAGCGTTGCGGCTTCAGCACATTAGACATATCAACATTACAACAATGCACTAACAAGACTACACACAATTCCTTAACTGACATATTCCCGATCGACATCACGTTGCTGTCCGACCAGCGAAATGACTGAATCGTGTTCTTATTCAACCCCACCAGGACCGTACAACGAGCAACCAACACACGATGACACAAAGTGCCACCTTTTGGATGATGATCACCCGGGCACAAGTCCCAGAAACCACGTTCAATCGTTAGGTTATATTAGGGCCTCCGACTACATCCTCGGTAGGGCCTTCAAATAACGAAAAATTGGGTCACACATTGGGACGGAAGTAAGCAATGTGTGTGTGTATAACACGTGTAGTCGCCAAGATAAATTCAGCCACGAAAAGCCCAGGGGCCGTAACTCAAAGATGTAAGATAAAACTATATTGACAGTTAAGTCGCTTAGGTGAGTGGACGCCCACAAAAACGAGCAGGCGGTTTTCGAGAGACTCGTCGACTCTGTCACTGGAGTGGCTACATTTGATGGCTGAACGTCCATGTCAAGCACTTTGATGACCCTCACAACTGAACTTCTGGTCTCGATTGATACTGTTTTGTCAAAAAGACAGCCAACACATGCTGGGCTGTGTCTGACAGCCAATACATGATGGGCTGTGTCTGACAGCCAACACATGCTGGGCTGTGTCTGACAGCCAATACATGCTGGGCTGTGTCTGACAGCCAATACATGCTGGGCTGTGTCTAACAGCCAATACATGCTGGGCTGTGTCTGACAGCCAATACATGCTGGGCTGTGTTTGACAGCCAAAACATGCTGGGCTGTGTCTGACAGCCAATACATGCTGGGCTGTGTCTGACAGCCAATACATGCTGGGCTGTGTCTGACAGCCAATACATGCTGGGCTGTGTCTAACAGCCAATACATGCTGGGCTGTGTCTGACAGCCAATACATGCTGGGCTGTGTTTGACAGCCAAAACATGCTGGGCTGTGTCTGACAGCCAATACATACTGGGCTGTGTCTGACAGCCAATACAAGCTGGGCTGTGTCAGACAGCCAATACAAGCTGGGCTGTGTCTGACAGCCAATACAAGCTGGGCTGTGTCTGACAGTCAGTACATGTGGGGCTATGTCTGACAGCCAATACAAGCAGGGCTGTGTCTGACAGTCAGTACATGTTGGGCTGTGTCTGACAGCCAATACAAGCAGGGCTGTGTCTGACAGTCAGTACATGTTGGGCTATGTCTGACAGCCAATACATGCTGGGCTGTGTCTGACAGGCAATACAAGCTGGGCTATGTCTGACAGCCAATTCATGCTGGGCTGTGTCTGACAGTCAGTACAAGCAGGCCGGTGTCAGACAGCCAATACATGCTGGGCTGTGTCAGACAGCCAATACATGCTGGGCTGTGTCTGACAGCCAATATAAGCTGGGCTGTGTCAGACAGCCAATACATGCTGGGCTGTGTCTGACAGCCAATACATGCTGGGCTGTTTTTAACAGCTTCTCTCAAGAATACACAACTGTCAATGATTCCACTTGTTTCTTCCAGCTGCCTCGGTCAGAAGGTGGAGTCCGATGTCTGCTGTTGCTGTCCGGTGTCAAGGGGTGTGTTCTGGTGGCTGGCACCAGCACCAACTCTCTGATCCACGTCACGCTAAACCATAACAAGTCACCACTAGAGGATGTGGCCCTGGAGAATGTCCCAATTACCCAGGTCAGCTGCTGGACACTGTCAGAATAATGTGGTTTAAACAGTAAAACACATGTCCCAATTACCTGTTTGGACTGTTAGAAACTATGCCAAAACAATGTGGTTTAAGAACAGTAAAAGACATAGGTTACGGGGACCCTGTGTGGGTTACGGGGTCCCTGTGTGAGTAACCGGGTCCCTGTGTGGGTTACGGGGTCTGGCTGTGGAAGAAAACAAGAATCGACCTATTGCTCCCCAACAAGTAAGTCTAAGAGTCAACCAGCTGGGGTCATCCTTCCAAGTCTGAATGTATCTGCCTAAGAGGCAAGCAATCAGCAGTCTGCATACACATAAGCAATATCTGTAAAATGGATTAGCACGCGAGACGTAGGTTATGGAATACGACTAAAGTCCGGGAGTGGACGAACAACCAGGACTTTGCAGCGTAGTATCATTACTTCTGTAGTGCTATTCTACAAGCCTATTTCTTCACATTTTACAACGAATGCATGATATTTCTCCTAGTTCCTTCTGACTCAAAGCTATAACATAGGGTTTCTCTGGGTACGCAGTGCCGGCACCTTTCTCGGGTATCATTTGTTTTGCATTACCGTAGTATAAACATTACGGCGAGTGCCGGATGCCTTTTTTGTTCTGCGGGGAAAAAAGACACGCTTGTTGAAGTTGAATGCCAGGGTGCCCGGTTCGATCCCAGCTGTGGACGGTTTGTCTTACGATGGTTTCGATAGTGGTACCGAAAGTTTAGCCTCCAGAAAGCAGTGGCAAACTTCTGAACGTAAACATTTGCCTAGAAAATTCATAACAGCCAACAAATGCTGCAGTTCGTTCTGCAGCGCCTTGTAAGGGATACGCAACTACTCCCCCCCCCCCCCACCCCACCCCCTCATTTTTTTCTCGGTTGGTATTGTCAGAAAGAGGGTGCAAAAGTGTTACATAGAACCTGTTCTGCTGTATGGCAGTGAATCTTGGAATGTCAGTGAACAAATTAGGAAGAATTTGGAAGCAACCGGGATGTGGTTTCTGAGGCGAATGTTACGAATACCTTGGAAGGCCAGAGTAACTTACAATGAATGCTTGAAAGAAGCTAATGAAAGTAGATCTCTATATACATCAATAAGAAAGCGAAAAACACTGTTCTTTGGCCATATAATTAGAAGATAGACACTGAAGAACATAATGACAACTGGGAAGATCAGTGGAAACAGGGGTAGAGGTAGACCAAGAGAGATGATGCTTGATGGGCTGAAACGATGGCATGGAGGGATATCATCAAGAGAGCTGTTCCAGGCCACCAGGGATCGTGATCTGAGGGGACGCATGAGAGCCTAAGCCAGTTGGCAGGGCACATGAAGATAATGATGATGATTAGAGAAATAGTATCATAAATGTTTGCCAAACAACATTTGACCGCCATCTCGATTTTTTTTCCTCAGGGACACACAGAAGACCTGAGAGCCATCCAGGCAATCCCTGAATCATTCCTTAGAGCAGACGTCATCAGCGCATCGACAGATGGCCTCATCTGTAAGCTGGACTCTACACGCCGAGAAGCTGTGTGGAAGTTGTGGATGAAGAGTTATCCATTTATTTGTTTGGATACAAGTCCAGAAGGTGACCAGATTTTTCTGGGAACGCAGGATGGCAAGTGAGCCTTGGCTTTGACGGCAGATTTAAAACAAAAATATACCATGTTTATTAATTGTTTTCTGACAGCATTGCTAGACATTTTTAATTTTAAAGTGTGTGGAAACAGTTTACTGAAATATTTAACTTGGTTACAGCAAAGTACATGATCGTTCTCATGATTTGGAGCGTGTGTGTGTGTGCGTGCGTGTGTGTGTGTGTGTGTGTGCGTGTGGGGGGGGTAAGTTTTGCTTGTCTGAGATATGTAGACGAAACAATGGGTAATGTTTTCTATATCATTGCGGTCGAGTTTACTTCCCAAAACATAAGAGGACAGGAAATTAGCTACCCGAGATAGCAAAGAATAGAAAGGCGAGGTTAAGAACCTATGCTGCATTGAGGGATACAGAGAAGTAGGAGAAGACGACGAAAGAAAGAAAGAAAGAAAGAAAGAAAGAAAGAAAGAAAGAAAGAAAGAAAGAAAGAAAGAAAGAAAGAAAGAAAGAAAGAAAGAAAGAAAGAAAGAAAGAAAGAAAAAAAAGAAAAAAAGAAAGAAAGAAAGAAAGAAAGAAAGAAAGAAAGAAAGAAAGAAAGAAAGAAAGAAAGAAAGAAAGAAAGAAAGAAAGAAAGAAAGAAAGAAAGAAAGAAAGAAAGAAAGAAAGAAAGGAAGGAAGGAAGGAAGGAAGGAAGGAAGGAAAGGAAGAAAGAAAGAAAGAAAGAAAGAAAGAAAGAAAGAAAGAAAGAAAGAAAGAAAGAAAGAAAGAAAGAAAGAAAGAAAGAAAGAAAGAAAGAAAGAAAGAAAGAAAGAAAGAAAGAAAGAAAGAAAGAAAGAAAGAAGAAAGGAAGAAAGAAAACTACAAAAATAAATAACTAACTATGACTTTGTAGTAACCTTGACATTGTTCACTATTGTTTAACTTTGACCTTAAAAATATTTAAATATGACCTTGTGATTAATTGTGGCCTTCTGACAATGACCTCATGTTTACCCTTGACCTCATTTTAATCCTTGACCTCTGTTTCTCGGCTGTAGGCTAGTGATTCTTAGAGTCATCAAAGAAGACATGACGGTTGTGGAAATTTTCAACGAAAAGATTTCAAACTCTGCTGTCCGCCATGTCAGTTTGTCCCCGGGTGAGTTTTTGCTTCTTACTTAAGTTATTTTTCAAAAGTTTGTCCCCGATTATAAACGTGTCAGTGTCCTGTTTATGGTTATTCTCTTCCAATGTCTTTGAAATCAGGAGCGGCGCCAGCGGGTACCTTGAGCTCGCCCCCCCCCCCCCCATTTTTTATTTAATACATATTACTATATGTTTTTGCCATTAGGCACATTACGTCTGGGCACAGATTGGACAGTTCCAACCTACCAAAACAAGTCCAGAGATTTGACAGTTCTTACATACCGGAACAAGTCCAGAGATTGGACAGTTCCAACCTACCAGAACAAGTCCAGAGATTTGACAGTTCTTACATACCGGAACAAGTCCAGTGATTGGACAGTTCCAACCTACCAAAACAAGTCCAGAGATTTGACAGTTCTTACATACCGGAACAAGTCCAAAGATTGGACAGTTCCAACCTACCAGAACAAGTCCAGAGATTGGACAGTTCTAACATACCAGAACAAGTCCAGAGATTGAAAGTTCCAACATACCAGAACAAGTCCAGACATTGGACAGTTCTAATCTACCAAACAAGTCCAGAGATTGGACAGTGCCAACATACCAGAACAAGTCCAGAGATTGGACAGTTCCAACATACCAGAACAAGTCAAGACATTGGACAGTTCCAATCTACAAGACAAGTCTAGAGATTGGACAGTTCCAACATTTCAGAACAAGTCCAGAGATTAAACAGTTCCAACATACCAGAGCAAGTCCAGAGATTGGACAGTTCCAACCTACCAGAACAAGTCAAGAGATTGGACAGTTCCAACGTTCCAGAACAAGTCCAGAGATTTGACAGATCTAACATACCAGAACAAGTCCAGAGATTGGACAGTTCTAACATACCAGGACTAGTCCAGAGATTGGACAGTTTTAACATTCCAGACCAAGTCCAACACATGTGATCGTCAGAAAAGAGAAGAGCTGATCAAACAATCAGCTCGATAACTCAACGACACGATGTTTTGAGGCTGTAGTCGGTCTTAGTCGAGGCTTCAGCCTCACTGCAATCGGGTCATCTCCCTGGCTCTGTCCCTGTGCCGGTGACAAGCAAAGAAATCTCTCCAACTGCCCCTGTTCTAAAAAAAAAAATGCTAGAAAAACAAAACAAAAACAATTTGTCCCGACACAATCCAGAAATATGCGCACTTAGTAAATGCATATGGTAATTTCTAGAGGCGCCAAAGCCAGCAGTTGCCATCATAAATGCAGTCTGTTGTTGCCAGAAGTAGTGAGTCACAATACGCGGGCTATACACTTGTAAAATTATTACATAAGGTATTTCGCCGGCCCAAATGTAGACCAGCTACCTGTCATTCTGAACACCACGACTCAACCACTGCTTGAATAAAAGGTATTTTACACGAAAAACACAGCTCATAGTGCTGCACGGAGCTTTTAACTCAGTAGTTTATGTAAATACCACAGACTTCCGCCCATATGTCAAAACTGCATAAGCAAAGCGCTGTCAGAGCACACAAAAAAACCTTGGGAACTAAACATTCTGCAATGCATATCCTTCATACCGGGCCAGAAGAATGTGGGACTATGTGTAGATCCTTAAAAAATTGAGATCTCTCCCAGGTCAGCACAGCCTAATATGGGTACTAAGAAACGTCTTGGGACGTAAAGGCGATGAGCATGATGTGCACGTTATCACCAATCTGGTGCCTTTTTCTCATAGTCCACGCCCTGTGGTGTCTCTCCACAGACATCTGTCTCGTGCACTTTCAATCTGTTCTGACACAGATGATCTTCCTTGCCATTACGTCAAACTGTGCAGCATCTTCTCTCTTGGTCTCCTTTCGCCCTCCAACTTTCCTACTGTCATGATGTACCTCAGTGTTCTCCTTCCCATGAGGTGACTAAAGAATGTAGACTGTCTTTTTCTGATGTGGGCAACCAGATCTTTTTATGGGTCAGTTTCTTTCTCATTTTCATACCTTCGTTTATCTGTCTATGATTCCTTTATGCATCTATATCTCTTCTGCTCGTACATCATGTTTCACTAATCAGTAGAAAGTCCAGCGTTCACTCCCACCTGTCAGGATTCCATATTCATGTTCTTGGATTGCCGTTCTGTCAGGATTCCATATTCATGTTCTTGGAGTGCCGTTCTGTCAGGATTCCATATTCATGTTCTTGGAGTGCCGTTCTGTCAGGATTCCATATTCATGCTCTTGGAGTGCCGTTCTGACCAACATAAGGCTCTTACATCATCTGCCCGAATCCGCACTGACTTCTCCTTGTGCGTTCCCCGTAAAAGAAGGAACACTTTCTGGTACGGTTTACAGCTAAGCTGCGATAAATGCGCCTTTCGGTCTAAAAAAATTGGATTTCAGCTAACTAAAAATAGATACCTTCAACGGCAAGTTGACTAAAAGGAAGTTGATCTGTCCCCCCCCCCCCCCTCCCAAATGGAGCCCTGGAGCCCAGGGGGGGGGGGGGAGTAAAGAAGTCGAACACCATATTCCATACATGCCACTGACGTGAAAATGATTATCTATTGACCTGACCTTCATCCTAACCTGAACAATAATACATACCTGTTGTTTGATTGGTATATCTTGTTTTATGTTTACAGACGGCAACCTGCTGGGGGCCGCAGCAACAAACGCTGTTGTGTACATGTATTCGTGTTTGCGCAAGAACGGAGCAGACGGCACGGAGATCTGGACACTTGCTGGCAAGGGCAAGGTCAGCCTTTGTTGCCAGTTTGGTTATATCGTGCTGTCCTAGGCTTAATCAGGAGTCGTCCTGGTGTAGCGGCAAGACCCTCTCGCGGGGATCGGAAGGTTGTGGGTTCACTCCCTGTTGTTCAGAAATGACCTTGACTCCCAGGTCAACCCAGCCTTGAGTGGGTACCGGGTGCAGTCCCAGGAAGTAAAGGCGGCCGGCGTGATGCTAACCACATCACCCATCTTGTGCAGATTAGTCCATACAAATATCGCTCTAGCCCTGTATGCCCTTTGCGCCTAAAGACCTGGAAAAATGATCTTCACTTTTTACTTTTTTCCCGTACCTGATCTTTAGACGTATACTAAACAGTATAGATATATATATAAGGTCCGACAATTAGGTAATGAGACTAATTCCATACACATTAAAAAAAATCAACAGTTGAAGATATAACCTGTATTTTTTTTCAAAGTAAGCCCCTTGTGCATTGATACAGTGAGTAGTACGATCTAACAAACACTGGAACGACCCCTGTAGTTCTTCTGTTGTTATAGTCCCTAAAGTCGATGTTACGGCCCTTTGGATGTCATTAGTATCGCCAAAGAAGCGTCCTTTTATTGGTAACTTTAATTTTGGGAACAGTAAATAATCACAGAGAGATAAATTTGGGGAAAAGGGTGGATGGTTGAGAACACACACTTGTTTTGGGGCCCAAATTCCTGTTTTGATCATGTCTCGTGGGAACGCAATCCGCTGATGTTTTTGGTCATCAGACAACGAATGCGGTACAAACCTGCAAGCAACTTTTTTCTAGCCCAAATCTTGCACTCAAATTGTAAGAAGTGTCTCTCTCTATCAACACCAGATGCATCTGCCATCATCCTGACAGTAAAGCAACGATCTTCTTGTATCCGTTCTGTGACTTGTGCAAAGAGTTCATCATTAAAAACAGAAATTGGGCGTCCAGGTCTAGTTGCATTGGTAATCATTTCTACACCACTCGTGAATCGTGAATACCAGCTGAATATCTGTGCACAAGATAAACAATTATCGCCATAAACTTGTCGCATCAATTCAGCTGTCTCAATGGCACTTTTTCTGAGTTTTCAACAGAATTTAATGTTAGCATTTTGCTCTATGGGAGTGCCCGTGGCGAAGCGACTAGACTCTCGCCACGGATCGGCTCTCTAGCAGAGCTGGACTTTTTTCACAAATGACCTTGGCTCCCAGATCGACCCAGCCTGGAGTGGGTACCGGGTGCAGTCCCAGGAAGTAGAGGCGGCCGGCATAATGCTGACCACATCACCCATTTTGTGCCGATTGGTCTATAAAATATAGGTCTAGTCCTATATGCTCTATACACCTAAAGGCGTGGCAAAAGGGTCCTTTACTTTTTTTAAAAACTTTTTGCTCTATGTTGATTTGGAAACAATGCACATCTAACTATGTCAATAAAATGGCGGCTTGTTTGTCGTCTGCTTATCAGGCGGAGATGCAAAGTTGCCATATCATAAATGAATGTTGCCTTTTTTGGATTCCATGCTTTGCTTCATAGATGGCACTTTTGTCTTGGCCGTAATAAAATCAGTCTCATTACTTAATTGTCGGATCTTGCATACATATATGTAAACAATTTTTTTTAAACTAAAAGAAACAAAGGGAGAATGATTAATTCATCCCCATAACAAGAATCTGTTCGCTACTTGGACCTGGTTGAGGTTGGACCAAGTTTGACTGTAACTAAAAATCTGTCCAAAGAACGTTACTTCTGCCTTCTCCTCTGGATGTTTCGGACATGTGTCACTGTATGGTCATTACAGGCAGTGTTATTACGGCTTGTCTGGGCTGTGTTGGGGTGATACTTCTCTGCAAAGTCATTGACATCTATCTGTGGCTTCGTCTCAAGATATGTAAACAAAGAAAGCGCGCCGTGTCGTGACTAATATTGAGTGATACAAATTCGTGTTCCAAATAAATATCGTATTCCAAGCAAAGGTTTTAGCGTCTGAACAGGACGTTTACCAAGTTGAACATGTACCGAGGTGAATGTATACCGAGGTGAATTTATGCCAAAGTACCACTGTAGTTAAAGTAGGGATGCGGGAGAGGGGAAGGGGGAGGAGGAGGGACTTATTCAGTGTAACATTCTACCATACAAAAATGGATCATCCGACATCCGGTCGCAGCACTCAGTTTTAGCAGCTTATGCGGGTACGAAAGAAATAATTCTGATAATAATGATCGGGTCTCTGATAGTATTGGTTATGTGTCAGGTTATATAATATTCCTATGATTGTCATGTCAACGATGTGCAATCTCCCGCAAGTTTCCACGATAAATCTCTAGGATATTTGTTTCAAGCTAGATTCATGTTTCCTTTCACAGGGTCGTACGAACGACATAGACTGCATCGAGTGGTCAACTGCTGGACCAGAAGATGTTCGCCTGATGACGACAAGCTGCTGTCTTCAAAACAAGCAATTCTGTAATGTTTGCCCGTTTACGATGTTGACTTGAATGTACAATCCTTTTTTTTATATAAGGGCGTGTGTTGTTCATTGTCTGTTCACTGTAGGTTGTATATGTTCATTTTATGTTGTATTTGTTCACTGTATGTTGTGTATGTGCATTTTATGTTGTATTTGTTCACTGTATGTTGTGTATGTTCATTTTATGTTGTATTTGTTCACTGTATGTTGTGTATGTTCATTTTATGTTGTATTTGTTCACTGTATGTTGTGTATGTTCATTTTATGTTGTATTTGTTCACTGTATGTTGTGTATGTTCATTTTATGTTGTATTTGTTCACTGTAGGTTGTATATGTTCATTGCATGTTGTTTATCCTCATTCTTTGTTGTGTATGCTCATCCTTTGTTGTGTATGTTTATTGTATGTTGTGCATGTTCATTGTATGTTGTATATGTTTTTTGTATGTTCTATATGTTCATTGTATGTTGTATGTGTTCAGTGCATGATGTGTATGTTCATTCTTTGTTTTGTATGTTCTTTGTATGTTGCGTATGTTCAGTATATGTTGTGTAAGTTCACTGTATGTTGTGTGTGTTCACTGAATGTTCACTGCATGATGTGTACATTAACTGAATATTGTGAATCTTGACTGTATGGTGTGTATGTTCACTGTATGTTGTGTATGTTGATTGGAAATTGTGTATGTTCACTGTATGTTGTGTATGTTCACTGTATGTTGTGTATGTTCACTGTATGTTGTGTATGTTCACTGTATGTTGTGTATGTTCATTGTATGTTGTGTAGATTGATTGTACATTGTGTAGATTGATTGTGTGTTGTGTATGTTCACTGAATTTTGTATATGTTCACTGTTTGTTGTTTACGGTCACCTTTTAGCTTACATTTTCTAAAATTGCTTTCGGTCATCATACCCCCCCCCCCCCCTCACATTTCACGCCCACAGCTGAAATTCTGCTTTTTCTTGAACGATTATCTTTCTATCAACCTGATCTGTCTGTGAATTCTTATCTTTGTTTTATTCTCAATCTTTCTTTCGAACATAAACTTTTTTGGAAACCTAACCTTTCAGTTACAACATACATTTCTCACATACCGTATCTTTCTCTCAACTTGTTTCTTTCTCTTAGCCTTTACCTTTCTCTTAACACCTTCATTTCTGTGAAACCAGCTTTCAGTTACACGGTTCATTTCTCAAAAGACCTGCCTTCTCTCAAGAAAAGTTTTTTTTTTGTTGTACCAAGCCTTATCTTTCTCTCAAACCCTAACTTTATTTTAAACCTTATCTTTCTCCCAAGCCTTGTTTTTGTACCAAGCCTTATCTTTCTCTCCAACCCTAACTTTATTTTAAAACTTATCTTTCTGTCAAGCCTTGTTGTTGTACCAAGCCTGAACTTTCTCTCAAGTCTTATCTTTCTCTCAAGTGTGGTGATAATGTCAGGCTCTAACTTTAACAATGCTTCCATTCTGTAACTGAAAGTTCAAAACAACCACGACGTGGAAGCAGACAACAAGACAGCGAAGCTGATACTTGTGATGAAGTCACTAACAATGTCTGTATCCATGTCATGGTTGCAGGGAAGATCCCGTCATGTGTGGAAGTCGGAGCAGACAAGGCAACCAGCAGCACTATCACATCACTCGTGTCCCAGTGTGAGTTCATCCTGTCTATGTAAATACGTGTTTCTTTAGTTTTCACATTTCGTCCCCATTCAGTTTCTTAAATAACTTTTGTTTACACTCCATGCTCTGGCCTTGGTAGTTATGATTAGTCAGCCTTCTGTCTACTGTCGCAGCGCCGACACAAAAATAAATGAGAGACCCCTCAGCTCCTTATAAATTTTCTGCAATATCCTTGTTTATGTGCATAATAATAATAATGTATTGAATAGCAGATAAGTGTATCTGAAATAATATGACATATATAAACGACAATTTGTACAGATAAATTATATGCAAAAAATTGGTGGGGAGAGGGAGGGCGTAGTTGCCTTAGAAATGTGATGGTCCCGCCCCCCCCCCCCCCCCACACACTGGGTGAAGGAGACGGGGCTGCGAATGCCTGAGCGCCTAGTTGCTCGCACCTATAATCTATTACAAATGTTTGTTCAGGCCTAGATTGCACAATGTCAGCAACTTCTCTCTTGATGTCGCTTTGCCTCTGTTCTCCTCCTAAGTTTCATGTTGTCACGACATGCTTCAGTTGTTCTCTTTTTGGCGACGCTTCCATGTCTTGTAACTCTACCACCGTATTTCCCCAAATAAATACAGACAGGGAGTCCAAACATTAGAAGATTACTGGGGGCGGGGGGGGGGGGGGCATTTGAAAATGTTCTGGAAGATATTCAATACTAAAGGCGAAATAGAGGCGAACTTTTAATCAGGTTGCAACTGGTACTGTTATCATGTCATCTCTTCGTTGGTTGCTGAAGATGAGGACGGAGCACATAAGGGAATGTCCCAAGTGCATTGATGTCAATTCTTGATTGACTGATTCATTGATTGCCGAACGTGGAGTTGACGTCAACTGACAACTCTTGTAAAATGTGTTATCAGTAAGAGGGCACTTTCTACACCACTGGCACATCGGGCTAAATTATTTTTTTATAGACCAATCAGCACATGGTGGGTGATGTAGTCGACCGCCTTTACTTCCCATGAGATTATGTGGTACCCAATGTAAGCTGGGTCGACCCAACAGCCAAGATCACTTTCGGGAAAATCGGGCGAATCCCAAGATTTAAAGACCAGACTAGCGAACCTCTGGCTAACGTGACAAGGCGGCCTTGATGACAGGATACACAGAAACACAGTGGACATATGTTCAGGTTATTAATCCTTATCTCCGTATTGGTCTTTCAGGGCTAAGGTCATCACAGATAGGTCCAGACCAGGTAACCTGTATGGCTGTCAGTCCCGGGAAGGACCTTGTTGCTATAGCAACTAACGATGGCCAGCTGCGTGTGGTCCATTGTGGGGAGGAAGCTCAGGTGAGGTACAGATCTGTAGGGTGATAGGGGGAGGGTGAATGTCTGGTCAGAATATAGGAGGGAGAGAGGAGGCACGGATAGGCAGGTTGAAAATGGTGAAGGGCTTAAAAGGGCTTATTGAAACTGGCAGAAGTTTTGAGAATGGAAATGAACAATCTAGCGTTGTGCAAACAAAGAGATAATACGTAAATCGCCATGGTAGTTCTGTCGCTGTTATGAACTTCCGTTTGTAAGATGTGCAGTGAAAGAGAAGACATTTTGATATGTGTGGAAAGTGGAACGGTTTCCTGCTGTAGGCTTCATTATTCTATATGTTGATGTAACTTGGTTGTATGATCTGAATTAACATTGTAAAGATTAACAAGTATAATGTAACCTGTCTAATGCCCACACTAGACAACGAGGGAAAAGAAAAGAAATAAGGACGCAAGACTCGGCACAAATGGGAGCTCGTCCAGGATCTGAAGCTAGGACTTTTCACAGTCTTTCTGCTCATAAACTATGCAGATTATGGTTTCTCTTAACCTTTACTAACATGTAAACTCGCATCATTACAATACAAACTGCTCTTACTGACCAACTGCTTGAGAGATTCAATAAATAACTCAACCTACTTGTTTTATCCAGGGACCGGGAACGCCCATCAAGAGTCACCTCAACACATGTAGCTTATGTTTTACCACAGATGGGCGGAGCTTGCTGACAGTGGGCGGGACTGATGTTTGCATCATGCAATGGAAGATTATTTAGACTGTAAAACTGACTGTCACCGTCACGAGATTATTACTGTCTACAGAGTGTCTGACTGCAAAATTATTTACCTAATGTTGATTTACCTAAAACTTTACTGTCCATTTGCACCTTCTTACGAATTTTACCTATCACCGGAATATTTTTTGTAGTGAGTAGCAACTTACATTCACTTATTCCCTATAAACAAAAGTCCCCAGGTCGACCTAGCCTGAAAAGAGAACCAGAAAGTGTCATGGGAAGTAAACTGGACCGGTGTTACATTGACCACAACAACCATAGAGAGCTGATTGGTGTTCAGTCTACAAGTTTATAAATTCACTAGTGTTTATTCGAGGAAGCTTAAATGAGAACCCTACACGTGTGATATAAGTTGTTATGTCATTGTCTTGTGCTATGTCAGTATTGGTGTTAAGAATGTCAAACGTGTTTATGACATGCCATCAGGATGTTGACGTAATATGGTGACGTCGTAATAACAGTTTAAAGATGGCCGCCAATTGTTGATATGAAATGAAAAAATCAGCAAATATCTTGGACAGCCAAGAAGAGCAACCCAGACGTTTGGGGAGGGCTCGAAGACAACTTATCTTGGACAGCCAAGAAGAGCAACCCAGACGTTTGGGGAAACAAAATGGGGAGGGCTCGAAGACAACTTATCTTGGACAGCCAAGAAGAGCAACCCAGACGTTTGGGGAAAACAAAATGGGGAGGGCTCGAAGACAACTTATCACAAATATCGGAAAGAGACAGTCATCATTTTGTAGGCATGTTATCAGAAGAAGGAAACTGGAACATGTTGTGACAACTGGAAAGATCTGTTCTCGACCGCTTTTTGTCATGGCATGGAGAGTTGTCAACACAGGAATGGATACATGCTGTTGGAGATTGCAGATTGTGGAGAGTCATAATCGCCCCTACCAGTCCAGTCGACAAGGTACCTGATGACACACACACACACACACACACACACACACACACACACACACACACACACACATTCACGCAACGTTCTATGTACAAGTTTATGTGTTCTACACAGTTTAGATACAAGATTATTACATTCACACAATTCTCCTTCTATGAATTCACACATTCAATGTTTCATTTACAAGCCTACATTTCCCATAGCGTTCTATTTATTAAATATTAAAATCAAACAATGTTCAATTTATCACATAATGTATTCCCTGCGTGTTCTTTTTATAATATAATATATTCAGAGAGCGTTATATATTTAACCAGAGTGTTCTATTTACAAACATATATTTACTCACAATTTAAACAAATCTATTTTGTCATATAATGTTGTATGCATAGCTGGAGATATTTCACAACTGTTCTATGTTTAGACTAGTGTCGCACGTTTTTTTTTTTTTCTTATTATTATTGTAATTACTTTTTTAAAACACAAACTCATATATTAAATGGTGGTATTCAAAGTGTCTAAACAAAGTACCGGTACTCAAAGTGTCTAAATAAAGTTCCGGTACTCAAAGTGTTTAAAGTGCCGGTATTCAAAGTGTCTAAATAAAGTGACGGTACTCAAAGTGTCTAAATAAAGTGATGATACTCAAAGTGTCTAATTAAAGTGCCGGTACTCAAAGTGTCTAAATAAAGTGATGGTACTTAAAGTGTTTAAATAAAGTTCCGGTACTCAAAGTGTCTAAATAAAGTGACGGTACTCAAAGTGTCTAAATAAAGTGCCGGTACTCAAAGTGTCTAAATAAAGTGACGGTACTTAAAGTGTCTAAATAAAGTGCCGGTACTCAAAGTGTCTAAATATAGTGACGGTACTCAAAGTGTCTAAATAAAGTGCCGGTACTCAAAGTGTCTAAATAAAGTGCCGGTACTCAAAGTGTCTAAATAAAGTGAAGATACTCAAAGTGTCTAAATAAAGTGACGGTACTTAAAGTGTCTAAATAAAGTGACGGTACTCAAAGTGTCTAAATAAAGTAAAGATACTCAAAGTGTCTAAATAAAGTGCACGTACTCAAAGTGTCTAAATAAAGTGCCGGTACTCAAAGTGTCTAAATAAAGTGAAGAGACTCAAAGTGTCTAAATAAAGTGCCGGTACTCAAAGTGTCTAAATAAAGTGCCGGTACTCAAAGTGTCTAAATAAAGTGCCGGTACTCAAAGCGTCTAAATAAAGTGCCGGTATTCAAAGTGTCTAAATAAAGTGATAGTACTCAAAGTATCGAAATAAAGTGACGGTACTCAAAGTGTCTAAATAAAGTGCCGGTACTCAAAGTGTCTAAATGAAGTGCCGGTACTCAAGGTGTCTAAATACGACGAGATGATGACCACATCACCGACAAAGTGCCGATTGATATATAACATATAGTCTTGCTCTGTGTGCCCAATATACCTGAAGGCGTAAAAGGGGTCCCTTTATTCACCGCAAAGTGTTTATCACCACAGCATTGTTAAAATAATGCCCCCGAAGAGGTTCCGGTACGACGTACCATTGCCTTCCGCCAGAAAAACAAAGCTCTGATTGTAGATTTTCTCACCTTTCATCCATCTACAAAAATGATAATACTGTATTTGTGCACTTATGATTAAAGTGTTCCGTCTACCAAAGCTGTGTAGATATTATTTTATGATTACAGTCTTCCATCTACAAAGTTGTGTTGAGATAGTGTTGTACCTGAAAGTGTATATGCTTGGTTACCGTACATATGTGCTTGGAGTGTTTGCCTTTGCTTCTGAGAACATTGCCTGGTACCTGCAAAAACTGAAAGACTCACTGCAACTTGACAAATATCTGACTCCAGGTTACTGAAAGACTCACTGCAACCTGACACATATCTGACTCCAGGTTACTGAAAGACTGACTGCAACTTGACAAATATCTGACTCCAGGTTACTGAACGACTTACTGCAACTTGACAAATATCTGACTCCAGGTTACTAAAAGACTCACTGCAACTTGACACATATCTGACTCCAGGTTACTGAAAGACTGACTGCAACCTGACACATATCTGACTCCAGGTTACTGAAAGACTTACTGCAACTTGACAAATATCTGACTCCAGGTTACTGAAAGACTTACTGCAACTTGACAAATATCTGACTCCAGGTTACTGAAAGACTTACTGCAACTTGACAAATATCTGACTCCAGGTTACTGAAAGACTCACTGCAACCTGACACATATCTGACTCCAGGTTACTGAAAGACTCACTGCAACCTGACACATATCTGACTCCAGGTTACTGAAAGACTCACTGCAACCTGACACATATCTGACTCCAGGTTACTGAAAGACTCACTGCAACCTGACACATATCTGACTCCAGGTTACTGAAAGACTCACTGCAACCTGACACATATCTGACTCCAGGTTACTGAAAGACTGGCTGCAACCTGACACATATCTGATTCCAGGTTACTGAAAGGCTTACTGCAACCTGACACATATCTGACTCCAGGTTACTGAAAGACTTACTGCAACTTGACACATATCTGACTCCAGGTTAGTGAAAGACTCACTGCAACCTGACACATATCTGACTCCAGGTTACTAAAAGACTGACTGCAACCTGACACATATCTGACTCCAGGTTACTGAAAGACTTACTGCAACTTGACACATATCTGACTCCAGGTTAGTGAAAGACTCACTGCAACCTGACACATATCTGACTCCAGGTTACTGAAAGACTCACTGCAACCTGACACATATCTGACTCCAGGTTACTGAAAGACTCACTGCAACCTGACACATATCTGACTCCAGGTTACTGAAAGACTCACTGCAACTTGACACATATCTGACTCCAGGTTACTGAAAGACTCGCTGCAGCCTGACACATATCTGACTCCAGGTTACTGAAAGACTCACTGCAACCTGACACATATCTGACTCCAGGTTACTGAAAGACTCACTGCAACTTGACAAATATCTGACACCAGGTTACTGAAAGACTCGCTGCAGCCTGACACATATCTGACACCAGGTTACTGAAAGACTCACTGCAACCTGACACATATCTGACTCCAGGTTACTGAAAGACTCACTGCAACCTGACACATATCTGACTCCAGGTTACTGAAAGACTCACTGCAACCTGACACATATCTGACTCCAGGTTACTGAAAGACTCACTGCAACCTGACACATATCTGACTCCAGGTTACTGAAAGACTCACTGCAACCTGACACATATCTGACTCCAGGTTACTGAAAGACTCACTGCAACCTGACACATATCTGACTCCAGGTTACTGAAAGACTGGCTGCAACCTGACACATATCTGACTCCAGGTTACTGAAAGACTGGCTGCAACCTGACACATATCTGACTCCAGGTTACTGAAAGACGGACATGACTGTCGCTATTTGTCACGTATGTGGAGTCGAGAAGGCGGTCTTGGTCACTGAGCATGTCGGGTCCCACTGGCAGACTAATGGCAATTTCAATGAATCGGATGTGCTCTACCGGAGGTGCAGATGTTATATATGACGCGTTAAGAAGAAGGAGGAGAAGGCTAAGAAGAAGAAAAAGAAGATCAAGAAAAAGAAGAAGAGGTGGAAGAAGAAGAAAAAAGAAGAAGAAGAAGAAGAAGAAGAAGAAGAAGAAGAAGAAGAAGAAGAAGAAGAAGATGAAGAAGAAAAGGAAGAAGAAGAAGAAGAAGAATCAGAGGAATGATGAGGAAGAGAAGGAGAAGGAGAAAAATAAGAGGACCTATACTTTACAGGTGTCACCAAAAAAAAAAAAAAAAAAATGCAGAAGAAAAAAAACATAAGAGTGGTGAACTAGAGAGTGTGTTTCAAACATCTGTGAAGCAAATGGGGCCAACAGCAGAGAGCAAGGCAATCTGGCCTGAATTAGTTGACGGCCTTTACTTGACTGGGCGAGAAGGGTTAGAGGTGGCCAGAGAAATGATGAAAACATGACTTGACTTTCTACCCCGCTAGGACATCACACAAGCGATAAACGCCCGATGACACAAAGTGCCACCATGTGGATGAGGATCGCCGTGGAGAGGTC